TCTCTTTGGACTGCAGGCTGACGCTCTAACCGCTGAGCCAAACTGGCCAGGGCACCTTGGGGCTTTTTAAAAATCTAAGCTGTTGCCCTGGCCACTTTTGTTCAGTGGTTAGAGCCTCAGCCAGCAGACCAAAGGGTCTCGGGTTCAATTCCCGGTTAAGAGCAGGTACCTGGATTGCAGGTTTCATCCCCAACACAGGTCTGGGTGCATATGGGAGGCAACCAATCCATGTGTCTCTCTCACATTGATGTTTCTCTCTCTCTCCTCTTCCCTCCCTCCCTCCCTTCTACTGTCTCTAAAAATCAGTGGAAAAAATATCCTTGGATGAGGATTAACAACAGCAACAACAACAACAAAACTAAGCTGTTAGTCATCCCTATTATCTCCATATTTCTGTTATGGCATTAAGTTTATTCATTCATTTGCCAAACAGATTTATTATTTATTATTTGTTAGATAACATATTGGGTGATGGGGAGTCTTGCAATATGGTGGTGTTTGCCTGCATTCAAATTAAATAAATAAATCTTCTATTTAGGTTTTTTTCTTTCTTTTTGTTGTTGTTTCATTAAATATCTTGCATTATGTGTACATGCTCTGTTGCCTATCCCAAAAAGCATCTACATTCTGTCCCTTATCATGGTGCTTAAACATGTAGTTTCAGAAAGAAGCAGCTGGTACTGAATTCTGCCTCACTTCAACCTTCCACCCAGGATCTGTCAGACAGCCAACAGGTATTGAATGTGTGTTTTCCAAGTTTAATATTGATGTAAGTGGGATATAAAATAAATAAAAACTATTAACTTTGGCCTCACAACTAGGAGGCAAGCCTTGCAAGAATATAACATTGAGAAATTTCTAGAACAGAAGTGGATTATAACCAGACAGTGTAACTTAATTGTTTTGTTTTAATCCTCACCCGAGGATATTTTTCCACTTATCTTCCGGGGGGGGGGGGGGGGGTGGGTAGAGTAGGGGGAGAAACAGAGAGAGAGGGAGAGAAACATTGATGCGAGAGACACACATTGTCCTGTATGACCCCAACCAGGGCCAGGGACCAAGCTGCAACTGAGGTTCATGCCCTTAACCGGAATCAAACTCATGACTCTTTGGTCCACAGGCCGACACTTTAACTACTGAGCTAAAGTGGCCAGGGCTGTAACTTCATTGTTTAGCATAGCAAATAAATATAGTTCAAATTCAGGTTAACTAGAGATATTGTGGATTAGAGAAATTGACTAAGGATTCATTGAGGAGCTAAGAGTAGGCCATGAGAAATGGGTACTGTTTGAATAGGAACTGGGAGCGCAAGTTAGGACAGTCCAAGCAGGGGCCAGCCTGAGGCAAGATTGAATGTGATACGTACAGGGTCAAATAAAGAGAGTCTAGATGGAGTGAAGACTCTGTGGGGAGGAATGAGGTGAGATAAATTAGGTGGACCAAATGGTAGAGGTTTGGAATGCTAAGCACAGAATTCCTGTTGGCACCTGAAAGGAATGGGGAAAGAAGTAAAAAGTAGCAGGACAGCCAGAGTCTTTGGAGGTCTGAGTATTTTTGGTCCCCAATTTGCAATATAAGGATAGGAGATGCATTGGCCAGTTCTGGAAAAGACATGTATGTGCACTTGTGTGCTATGTTAAAACTGCTTGCTGTCCCTTTCTATATTTGGTCACACAGTAGGACAGATAGAAGGAAAGAGAAATAGTCGCAGGACAAAATAGGCTTTTAGAAATTTAAGTGGTTGATGTATCGCTGTTAGCTTTTATTTAGTATATTTTATAAAAAATAAAAATTTACCAAAACCTTATTACCAAATCTAGAAGTTACTGTAGCTTTTCTTTTTAATCCTCCTCCGAGGATATTTTTCCATTTGTTTTCAGATAGAGTGGGAGGGAGGGCGGGAGGGAGAAAGAGAGACAAACATCAATGTGAGAGAGAGACATCGATTGGCTGCCTCCCCCACGACCCTGACCAGGGCTGGGGATCGAGCCACAACTGAGATACATGTTCCTGAATCTAACCCAGGACTCGAGTCTATGGGTTGATGCTCCAACCATTGAGCCAAACTGGCCAGGGCTATTTTAGATTTTCAAAAAAATAAATAAATTATAGTTTAAGTATGAGATGAAACTGAATCATACATAAATTATAATTTAATGTTCTTACCCCAACCACTCTGTTTCAAACTTATTTTCCTCTCCTGTTTTTTTCTTTCTGTCACCTATTTATTCTTCAGGTCTTAGTTTAAGCATCATTTCATCTAGAAAGACTTTCTTCAGTCAGGATTTTTCCCAGCTCTATTCTCCCATGGCTCCTGTACTGTTTTGAGACATCTGTTATCACTGCACTGTAATTGGGCACTCAGCCCTGGGAGCTCAGAGAGCTTAGGGACTAGTCTTATTTGCCGTTGAATCCTCATCTGCCAGGGCAGGTCAGGCACATGTCACATGGTTAGTAAATATTTGAGCAATGTAAAGGCTGGGCTGATTTGTCATTGTAATTCTTTTTTCTTTTTTCTGTTTGTTTTTTGATCCTCACCTGAGGATATTTTTCCATTTATTTTCTGACAGGGTGGAAGGGGGGGACGGGGAGAGAGAGAGAGAAACATTGATGTGTCAGAGGCACATTGATTGGTTGCCTCCTGCACAGCCCCAAACAGGGCCTGGGAGCAAACTGCAACTGAGGTATGTGCCCTTGACTGGAATCGAACCAGTAACTCTGGTCTACAGGCCGACACTTTAACTGCTGAGCCAAACCAGCCAGGGCCTTTTTTCTTTTTTAAATTTAACGTTTTCTAAACAGTTTTCTGCTTTCATGTACTCATAATTATTTATTATTGTATTATGTTTTAAAAAAATATGTATATGTATTCCTTAAGTATTTTCCTGTTATTGAGCGTTTAGATTATTTCCATTATTCTTTTTCCTACATATCTAGTTACTGCTAACATAAATGTCCTTGTACATATAGAGCTTACTATTTTTTTTTAATCCTCACCTGAGGATGTTCTTTATTGATTATAGAGAGAGAGGAAAGGGAGGAGAGAGAGAAAGAGAGAGAGAAATATCTCCTGTATGCACTCTGACCTGGGACCAAACCTGCAACCTAGGAATGTGCCCTGACTGGGAATTAAACCTTGTTTGGTGTATTGGGATTTTTTTTTTTTTTTTCCTCACCCGAGGACATTTTTCCATTTTTTGCTCAGGTAGAGTGGGAGGGAGAGAGAGGAACATCGATGTGAAAGGGACACATCGAGTGGCTGCCACCCGCACAACCGACCAGGGCCGGGGACAAACTGCAACCGAGGTACGTGCCCTTAGCGGGAACCGAACCCGGGTCTCTCAGGACCGCAGGCCGACGCTCTAACCGCTGAGCCAAACCGGCCAGGGCTTGATTGGTGTATTGGAAGATGCTCCAATCAACTGAGCCACCTGACTAGGGCTAGCACTCTTTCTTTCTTTCTTTCTTTCTTTCTTTCTTTCTTTCTTTCTTTCTTTCTTTCTTTCTTTCCTTCCTTCCTTCCTTCCTTCCTTCCTTCCTTCCTTCCTTCCTTCCTTCCTTCCTTGCTTCCTTCCTTCCTCTTTCTTTCTTTCTTCTTTCTCTCTCTCTCCCCCCCCTCTTCTTCTCTCCCTGTCTCCCTCCCTCTCTTTCTTTCTTTCATTATTAATTTTTTTTTATCCTCACCTGAGGACATTTTTCTATTTTTTGTTCGGATACAGTAGGAGGGAGAGAGAGGAAGAGAGAGAGAGAGAAACATCGACGTGAAAGAACACATCGAGTGGCTGCCACCTGCACGACTAACCAGCACTGGGGACAAACTGCAACCGAGGTACGCGCCCTTAGCAGGAACCGAACCCGGGTCTCTCTGGACCGACCGCAGGCCAACGCTTAACCATTGAGCCAAACCGGCCAGGGCTAGCACTTCTTTTTAATACTTTAAATTAAAAATGATAGAGGAAAATCATACATAAAGCACATATTTATTCTTAAGATATATTATGTTTAACTTCATAGTGAATGGCCTATAAAATAGTGTTTGTTTTGCCCTGGCCAGTTTGGCTCAGTGGTTAGAGCGTTGGACTGTGGACCAAAGAGTCAGGGGTTCGATTCTAGTCAAGGGCACGTACCTTGTTTGTGGTTAAGTCCTGGTCCTGGTTGGGGTCGTGCGGGAGGCAACCAAGTGGTGCGTCTCTCCCACATTGATATTTTTCTCTCTCCTTCCCTCCCCCACTCTATCTGAAGATAAATAGAAAAATATCGTCAGATGAGGTTTAAAATAATAGCATTTGTTTTTGTCCATATTTCATTTTTTTCAAAGAAAATGTGCTTCTATTCTTATTCAGATTAAACAAATTATAAGGTAAAGCCACTGTGTTGCTTAGGGGAGAGACACTGTTGGGGGCGTATATGGGTTTTATTTATTTATTTATTTTATCCTCACCCGAGGACATTTTTCCATTTTTTGTTCAGATAGAGCAGGAGGGAGAGAGAGGAAGAGAGAGAGAGAGAAACGTCGATGTGAAGGGACACATCGAGTGGCTGCCAACCGCACGACCAACCAGGGCCGGGGACAAACTGCAACCGAGGTACGTACGTACCCTTAGCGGGAACCGAACCCAGGTCTCTCTGTACCGCAGGCCGACGCTCCAACCGCTGAGCCAAACCGGCCAGGGCCGTATATGGGTTTTAAATAGGCATTTAGGGACAGTTTCTCTGAAGAGGTGACATCTGAGTAAGGCAGAGATATGGGGAAAGCATTCCAGACAGGGAACACCAAATACAAAAGTCTCAAGGTGGGAATCTGCTGGTATGGTCAAGGAACAGTGGAACTCTGGAGAGTGGTGGGAGGTGAGGTCCGAGCACGAGTCAGGGGCCAGTTCTTACAGGTCCAGGTAGAGCACAGTAAGGCTCTAAATATAATGGGATGCCACTGGATCAGGGGTATGACAGGATCTAATTTTTAATTTTCTCTTTTCCTCTGGCTGCTGTGTAAAAGCTAGGCTACTGACAGAGTGGAAACAGAGTCTGGTAAGGAGGCTGTTTATTACAGTAATACAGGTGAGACATGATGGGGGCTTGGATAGGGTGGGAGTGATGGAGGTGATGAGTGATCAGGTTTGGGATTTGGTGAAATGGTATGTCCTGAGAAGAAAATTTTACCACTAGTGAAAAAATAGCTTAAGGCAAACCTCTTGTTGAGAATATGAGTTAATAGTATTCAGACTGCCTTTCTCTTCAGAGTGTTTGGTGTGTATATATATATATATATATATATATATATATTTTTTTTTTTTAAATGCTGTTTCTTTTTCTTTTTTATTTTTTTATTGATGTTAGAGAGAGGAAGGGGGAGACAGAGAGAGAAACATCGATGAGAGAGAACATCAATTAGGTGCCTCCTGCATGCCCCCACTGGGGATCAGGACCGCAACCTGGGCATGTACCCTGATCGGGAATCGAATTGGTGACCTCTTGGTGCATGGTTCAGTGCTCGACCACTGAGCCACACCAGCTGGGCTGTTTGGTATAGTTTGTATCCTTGAAATTACTAAATTGGCGAAGTGGGGAAAGGAACCGGGAAAGGGAAGGGCTGCGACTTGATTGTGTTGGTAATCCATTTGCTGATGGAACAAGAAAGATTCCATAGCAGCAGATGTGCAAATTTTTATTTGTATTGGTCATTTACTTAATATGAAAGGTATGTCTGAAGAATGTATGCTTGGATAAATTATATACTGAATCTGAGGCTTAGTGTGATTGTGTTCAACTAGACCTGTTTAGTATTAACTGTGAAATAGGTTGCAGCAATAAGAAATGGAGTGGGTGCCTTTCTGTTGTTATCAAAATCCACTAACAAGTTTTGCTGTGCTTGATTGCTCTTCATTGTTATGCTTTATAGTTCATGCTAAAGCTGTAGATGTAGATGACATTTATTCTACAGTGGTTTCTCAAGTCTTTACAAACAGTAAGGTTGTATTTTGAGTAAACATCTGTTTACTCTGTAATAATGATAGATGCTAGACAAGTTTGCTTTGGTTCTATTTTGCAAAGGATTTTAGCCAGGTAGAGAAAAGTATTTGACAATGTTCTCGAGCTTTGTGAAACTACATTGGCTTATGTGATTGTTTTATACAAATGCCCACTTTACTTTATTCCTTTAGCTATAGAAAGAGATTAAGACATTAGCTTAGCCCTGGCCGGTGTGGTTCAGTTGCTTCAGCGACTTCCCATGTACCGAGAGGTCACTGGTTTGATTCCTGGTCAGGGCACATGCCTGGGTTTCAGATTCGATCCTCAGTAGGACCTGTGCAGGAGGCAGCTGATCAATGTTTCTCTGTCATCCATGTTTCTCTCTCTCCCTTTCCCTTCCTCTTTCTCAAATCAGTTAAAAAAGTATTTATTTATTTAAAGAAAAACATTAGCTTAGCCCAGGGACACGTTGTAGTGTAGAAGGTCCTGTGAAAAGTGGGTAAAGGTACTTCTCAAGCCACCAAGTTGAAACAGAGTGTCCAATTTTTTGCAAAATTTGTTTTTGGGAGTACGAAATTTAAACTTATGATATATGCTCTTCACGAGATGTAAGATATTAAGTCGTGGTGTAGAGTGTTTATTGGCTTTTGTTTGCTTTTTTTATTTAAAGGGTTGGGGTCTTTTAAGATAGAATTTTATAATCTAGTTTTCCTTAGTTACTTAAAGATTTAGAAACTTTTTTGGGTAGTAGAACACTTTATTAATCTGAGGAGAACTGTGGATTCTTTTCAGAAAAAGCCATGCACATATTCATTCAACAAATTTATTCAGCATACCTTGATTGAATGTCTGTTTTCTGCCAGGCAGAGTTATAGATGTTCAGGATATCTCAGTGAACAAAAGAGAGAAAAAGAAAGAAAGAGAGAAAGAGAAAGAGAGAAAGAACCTAGCCTGGCTCGTGTGGCTCAGTGGTTGAGCATCGACCCATATACCAAGAGGTTGCCAGTTCGATTCCCGGTCAGGGCACATGCCCAGGTTGTGGGCCTGATCCCCAGGGAGTGGCGTGCAGGAGGCAGCCAGTTGATGTTCTCTCATTGATGTTTCTCTCTCTAAAATCAATAAAGAAAAAATATTTTTTTTTTAAAAAAAGAACCTAAACAATGGTCAGTGTGAAGCTTATATTCCAGTGGAGTCAGCAAGCAAGAAACAATAAGTAAGAACATTATACAGTATTTTAGAATGTGATAAGTGCTATGGAAAAAAGAAAATATGAAAGGGAAGGATGGTGGTGGTTGTGATTTAAATAGGGGAGTCAGGATAGGTTTCATAGAAGGGGTGATAAAATTAGCAATGTGGAGTTCTGAGGTTTGAGCATTCTAGGAAGAGGGGAATCGCCAGCACAAAGGCGGGAGCAAGAAGACATGGTCAGAGCAGGACGAGCAAGGGCAGAGTGGTGTATTAGTTTCTTAGGGCTACCTTAACAAAGTACCACAGACTGAGTGACTTAAAACAACAGACATTTATTCTTTCATAGTCTGGAGGCCAGAAGGTGAAGGTGTTGTTGGCAGGGTTGTTTCCTTCTGGCATCTCTGAAGGAGTATCCATTCCATGATTCTTTCCTAGTTTCTGGTGGCTGCCAGCAATCCTTGGCATTTCTTGGTTTGTAGACACGTTGCTCTAATCTCTGCTTCTCTGTCTCATCTCCATCTGTCTGTCATTGGATTTAGGATCCATCCTAGGGTATTAAAAAGTCTGGGAGAAGAACAATCAGCAACAAAAACCACTGAGAAGAGATCAGTGAAAAAAGAAAACCAAGAGACTGTAGATGATTGTAGATGGCACCCTGGAAGCCAAGTGAGAAAAATGTATCAAGCAAGAGGGGGGAGATGACTGTGTCAAAATATCCTAAACCAGCCCGGCTGGTGTGGCTCAGTGGATTGAGTGTCCTCCCATGGACCAAGAGGTCCTGGTTTGGTTCCCTGGTCAGGGCAGATGACTGGGTTGTGGGCTCGATCCCCAGTAGTGGGTATGCAGGAGGCAGCTGATCGATGTTTCTCTCTCACATTGATATTTCTTTCTCTCTCTGAAAAATCAATAAAAACATATTTTTAAATCTTAAATATTAAAAAATCTCCTAAACCAGGTCACAGTAGAACTGGGAATTGATTATTGGATTTAGCAATCTGGAGGTCAGAGGTGATCTTGACAAGCTTGGTTTCAGTGGAGTGTTTGGGTGGGTTTAAAAGAGAATGAAAGAGTAATTTGAGAAAGTGAATATAGCACCTTTTGGGAGGATATTTGTTGTAAAGGAAAATAGAGAAATAGAGCTGTAGTACTGGAACTTGAGCGAGGACAGTTTTTTTTTTTTTTTTTTTTTTTAAGACAGGAGAGATAGCAGTATAAAAGTATCTTACCGCCTCAAAATTTTGTATAATTTCAGTGGATTAATAGGTTCCCAGAATCTCTCTGTGAATCTGCAATTTAGAAACTCTTGACCTGTAACTTTCAGCAAAACAATGGAGCAGCAACCTCACTTTCTTGAGCTTTCTCTTTCATTTTAAAAGTTTGCATGGTCTGGTAATTAGACCACAAAGAATGAGAATTTCTGGATATCTTCAGTTTTTCTGATAAGGAGCAGGCCTTGGTGCAAATCACTTATCTTACATTTAAAAACATGTATATTACACTTAGTACTTACCAGGCACTTATTCTACATGAATTTAATCTTCTGTCTTTTCTTTTTTCCATTTATCTTCAGATAGAGTGGGGGAGAGAGAGAGAGGGAGAAACATCGATGTGAGAGAGACAAATCAACTGGTTGCTTCCTGCACGACCTCAAATAGGGCCAGGGATGAACCACAACAGAGGAGGTATGTGCCCTTGACTGGAATCGAACCTGCAACTCTTTAGTCCGGGCTGGCATGCCAGCCTCTGAGCCAAACTGGCCAGGGCACGTATTTAATCTTTATAGTAATCCTATGAAATAGGTATTAGTATATCCATTTTACAGTGGTGGGGAAATGGAGACCCAGAAAGGTTCAGTGACTTGCCCAAAGTCACTTAGCTAGGAAGTGGCAGAGCCAAGTTTTGAACTCACTCCAGAGTGTATTCTCCTAACCACTGTTGTATGCTTCCTGTCATAGTTCTTTAGTTGTGGATGGTAATAAAGTGTGTGAGTGTGGCGTGAGGGAAGTGGGTTGGAGATACGAGTTGAGGGATGCCTTTAGGAAATCTTTGAGATTTTCATTTGAAAGATTCTGTAAAAGAGAAAATTTTCTTCATGGATTTGTCCCAGGTGATACATAATGAAAATGTAAGATTGTAATAGTTTTTATTCCAACCACTTGAGAATAGCTGCTTTTTTCTAGCTTATGGTGAGCATCTTTTTCCATTGTATAAGAGTTGGCTGGCACAGAGATCTACATATTCTATTTCTAGCAGGTGAAATTGCTCCCTCTTCATCTCTACTTTATATTTTGGTTTCTTTGACAATGAGGCTTGATATTTTGGTGTACCCGGATGGCGTTATACTGTTGGACCAGATTACCTAAATTACTGACTGTTTGTTGTAGACTGGTTCAAGTATGCCTTTGGGGACCCAGAGTTAAAATGGATGATTCTGTCAGTGTGGCTTGAAGAGCATATTACTTGAAGGGTCTCCTAGTACAACGGATAGTTCAGATTCCACTTGCTGTGGTATAAGTTGTGTACCCCTTTTCTCCAAGTCAGTCTTTGCTTCCAAAGGTAACTCAGGCGTATTCTTTTCCCTATAATTTCTACCCCCAAATGGACCAGCCAGAGCCAGACTCTAGGGCACAAGTCAAATTAGTGAGTGAGCTGAAATTGGAACCCAGCTTTCCTTTAATGTCTAGGTTAATGCCCCCCCCCCTTTTTTTGTTAATCCTTATCTGAAGATATTTTTTCCTTTTTTAAAAAGTGTTTCTATTGATTTTTTCTTTTTCTTTTTTTTTATAGAGAGAGGAAGGGAGCGAGCCATAGAAACATTCATGCGAGAGAGAAACAACTATTGGCTGCCTCCTGCACGCTCCCTACTGGGGATCGAGCCCGCAATGAGGGCATGTGTCTTGATGGGGAATCGAACTGGGACCTCAGTCCGTGGGATGATGACGCTCAGTCCACTGAGCCACACCGGCTGGGCTCCATTGACTTTTAGATAGAGTGGAAGGGAGGAATGGAGAGAGAGACAGATAGATTGATTAAAGAGAGACACATTGATTGGTTGCCTCCCACAACCTGGGGGCAGTTGAACCTGCAACTCAGGCACCTGCCCTTGACCAGGAATCGAACCTAAGACCCTTTGATCCACAGGCTGATGCTCTAACTGCGGATGCTCTTATCACTGAGCCATGCTGGCCAAGGCTGGATTTTTTTCTCCCCAATTAAATAAAGTAAACCTATAATACAGACACTGAAGATATGGTAATGAATAAATAGAAAAAAATGTTCTGCTCTCAGTGAGCTTATAACAATTAAGTGTCTTCTCATAGTTATAATTATTTCCTTAGGATACAGTATAAGTGAGTTCTGATATTACAAATAAAATTGTTCAGCCTGACTGGTGTGGGTCAGTGGTTGAGTGTCAACCTATGCACCAAGAGGTTGCTGGTTCAGTTCCCAGTCAGGGCCCTTGCCAGGGTTTTGGGTTTGATCCCCAGTAGGGGGCATGCAGGAGGCAGCCAATCGATGTTGATGCTTCTCTTTCATTACGTTTATTTCTCTCTCTCCCTCTCCCTTCCTCTCTCTCTCTAAAACAAAATCAATAAAAACATTAAAAAAACAACAGTAGCAGCACTGGCCGGTTTGCCCTGTGGTTGGAGCGTTGGCCCTTGGACCAGAGAGGCCTGGGTTTGGTTCCCACTAAGGAAACATACCTCGGTTTTGTGGGTGGCAACCACTTGATCTCTCTCTCTCTCTCTCTCTTTCTTTCTTTCTTCCTTCCTCCCTCTCTCCCTCCTGCTCTATCTCAGGATAGATGCAAAAATGTCCTCAGGTGAGGATAAAAAACAAAACAAAAAAACAACAACAAAAAACAAACAAAATTGTTCCGTAACTGCATTTCTAAATATTAGAACATACTTTCTTTTAAATGGTAAAAACCTCAAATCTTCTAAAGTATTTATTTTCTTTGATTAAAATGTATAGTGTTTGCCCCTTTACCACACAAGTGCTTGCTATCAAAAATTAAAATAAATAGGGACCTTTAAAAGGAAGTGTTTTAAGTATCATCAATTCTTGATAATTAGAGAACTTGGTTAATTGCTTTTTTTTCACTAATCAGCTAAAAAGTATAAGTAGGCCTTGTTATTTTTGGTATGGCTGAGAAATTTTTCAGTCAATTTATTGTAAACTTAATTGATCTGTAGTAAAGTCAAATTTCAGGTTGTGAAGTTGACTAGTAATTTCTCCTGCTTTGCTTTGTATGGTTCTCCCCACATCCTGCTTTCATTTTAGAAATTCTCTAGAGACCTGGCAAAATCTTTAATAAACTGGATGATTGGATGGATGGTATTTGATGTGATCCAGTCTGCTCTGAAATGCCCAGTTTGAACTTTCACTCAAAATGACATGTGCTTATGTTTAGTTACAAATAAATAGTCCTTTAAAAAAGTTATAACCAGGCCTGGCCAGTGTGGCTCACTGGTTGTGCATTGACCCATGCACCAAGAGGTTGCCAGTTCGATTCCCAGTCAGGACACATGCCCAGGTTGTGTGCCTCATCCCCAGTGGGGGGCATGCAGGAGGCGGCCAGTCGATGTTCTCTCTTGTTGATGTTTTTCTCTCTCCCTCTCCCTTCCTCTTTCTCTAAAAATCAATAAAGGAAAAATATTAAAAAAAGAAAAGTTATAACCAAACCTTAGCTTGAAAGAAAACATGACTTATTCACACTACACACCAATAAACAGCTTTCTATAGCTGAATACAGCAGACTTAAAGACAACAGTTTATACAGGATGATCACAACGAGAATTTATTTATTTTTAATAAATTTTTTTCATTATTGATTTTTTTTTTTTTTTTGGTTTATCCTCACCCGAGGACATTTTTCCATTCTTTGTTCAGGTAGAGTGGGAGGGAGAGAAAGGAACAGAGAGAGAGAGAGAAACATCGATGTGAAAGGAACACATCGAGTGGCTGCCACCCGCACAACTGACCAGGGCCGGGGACAAACTGCAACCGAGGTCCGCGCCCTTAGCGGGAACCGAACCCGGGTCTCTCAGGACCGCAGGCTGATGCTCCAACCAACTGAGCCATCTGGCCAGGGCCCAGTATTTCATACTTTTTCATTATTATTATATTTGTTATGGTGATCTATGATAAGTGTTTTTTGATATTACTCTTAATTATTTTGGGGTGCCATGAACCACATCCATATAAGGTGGCAAACTTGATAAATGTTGTATGTGTTATGACTCTTCCACCAATCAGCCTTTCCCTTGTTTTTCTTCCTCTTTCTGGACCTCTGTATTCCCTGTGACACGTTATATATATATATTTTAAATCCTCACCCAGGATATCTTTCCATTGATTTTTAGACAGAGTGGAAGGGCGGGGGGGTGGAGGTGGGGGTGGGGGGAGGAGAGGGAGAAAGAAAAAGATTGATGTGAGAGAGATCCATCAGCTGGTTGCCTCCCATATGACCCTGACAAGGGTCTGGGATTGAATCTGAAACCCAGGTACATGCACTTGACCAGGAATCAAACCTGAGACCCTTTGGTGCATGGGCTGATGCTCTAACTGCTGAGTCAACTGGCCGGGGTGAGACACACATTATTAAATTAGGCCTATTAGTAACTCTGTAGTGGCCTCAAAATATTCAAGAGTCACCAGTCTCCTACTTTAAATCAAAAGCTAGAAATGATTAAGCTTAGTGAAGAAGACATATCAAAAGCTGAGATAGGCTAAAAGCTAAGCCTCTTGCACCAAACAGCCAAGTTGTGAATGCCAAGGGAAAGTTCTTGAAGGAACTTAAAAGTGCTACTCCAGTGAACACATGAATGATAAGAAATTAAAACAGTCTTATTACTAACTTGGAGAAACTTTTTTTTTTTTTTTTATCCTCACCCAAGGACATTTTTTCATTTTTTGTTCAGGTAGAGTGGGAGCGAGAGAGAGAGAAACATCGATGTGAAAGGAACACATCGAGTGGCTGCCACCCACACAACCGACCAGGGCCGGGGACAAACCGCAACCCAGGTACGCGCCCTTAGCGGGAACCAAACCCGGGTCTCTCAGGACCGCAGGCCGACGCTCTAACCGCAGAGCCAAACCGGCCAGGGCCTAACTTGGAGAAACTTTTAATGCTCTAGATAGAAGATCACACCAGCCACACATTTCCTTAAGCCAAAGACTAAATCCACAGCAAGCTCCTAACTCTCTTTAGTTCTATGAAGGCTGTCAGAGGTGATGAAGCTGCAGAAGAAAAGTTTGAAACTGGCTGAGGTTGGTTCGTGATGTTTAAGAAGAGAAGCCATCTCCATAACATCAAAGTGCAAGGTGAAGCCGCAAGTGCTGATGTAGAAGCTGCAAGTTATCCAGAAATCTAGCTAAGATGGTTCATGAAAGTGGCTCCACTAAACAATAGGCTTTCAGTGCAGATGGAGCAGTCTTGTATTGGAAGAAGACGCCATCTAGGATTTTCAGAGAAGGCTCAAAGGAGAAGCCAGTGCCTGGCTTCAAGGCTTCAGAGGACAGGCTGACTCTCTTTTTTTTCCAATATATTTTTATTGTGATTTTAGAGAGAGAGGATGGGAGAGAGAGATAGAAACATCGATGGGAGAGAGAAATATCAACCGGCTTTCTCCTGCACGCCCCCTACTGGGGATTGAGCCCACAACCCTGGGCATGTACCCTGACCGGGAATTGAACCAGGACCTCTCAGTCCATGGGGTGACATTCAATTTACTGAGCCATACCGGTTGGGCCAGGCTGACTCTCTTATTAGGGGCTAATGCAGCTATGACTTTACATTGAAGCCAATGCTCACTTACTATCCGAAAATACTATGGTCCTTAAGAATGTGCTCAGTCTCCTTTGCCTGTGCTCTTAACATGGACAGCAAAGCCTGGATGACAACACATCTGTTTACAACACAGTTTACTTAATAGTTTAAGTCCACTGTGGAGACTTACTGCTCAGAATAAAAAAAAGATTCCTTTCAAAATATTACTACTCATTGACAGTGTTTCTGTTTACTCATGAGATTTATTTTTTTTTAATGCCTGTTAACACAACATCCATTCTTTAGCCCATGGATCAAGGAGTCATTTCAACTTCAAGTTTCATTATTTAAGAAGTACATTTTAGCCCTGGCCAGTCTGGCTCAGCAGTTAGAGTGTCTGCCCGAGGACTGAAGGGTCTCGGGTTTGGTTCCAGGTCAAGAGCACATAACCTGGGTTGCAGGTTCCATCCCCAGCCCTGGTCAGGGTCATGTGGGAGGCAACCAATCAATGTGTCTTTCCCTTCCACCCTGTCTAAAAATCAATGGAAAAGTATCCTTGGGTGAGGAATAATAATGATAATAATAATAATAATAAACATTTTGTAAGGCTGTGGCTGCTATAGATTGCGATCCCTCTGATGGATCTTGGCAAAGTCATTTGAAAACCTTCTGGAAAGGCTTCCCCATTCTTGGAAAGAGGTAAGTCATGGGAAGAGGTCAAAATAATTAATGGAAAGAGGTCAAAATAATCAACATTACCAGGAGTTTGAAAGAAGTTGATTTCAACCCTCATGGATAACTTTGAGGGATTTAAGACTTCAGTGGAGGAAGTAACTGCAGATGTAATGGAAATAGCAAGAGAACCAGAATTAGAAGTGGAGTTGGAAGATGCGACTGAATTGCTGTAATCTTTTTAAAAAATTTTTATTGATTTAAAAAAAAAATTTTTTTTGGTACGTGCCCCTAATGGGAACCAAACCCGGGACTCTCTGGTCCGCAGGCCAATGCTCCAACCGCTGAGCAAAACCAGCCAGGGCTGATTTTTTTTTAGAGAGAGGAAGGGAGAGAGAGATAGAAGCACTGATCAGCTACCTCCTGTACACCCCCTACCGGGGATTGAGCCCACAACCTGGGCATGTGCCCTGGCTTGGTATTGAATGGACCTCTCAGTCCATGGGATGATACTTAATCCACTGAGCCACACTGGCTGGGCAATTGCTGCAGTCTTATGTAAAACTTTAACAGATGAGAAGTTGCTTCTTAAGGATGAGCAAAGACAGTAGTTTCTTGAGATGGACTCTGTTCCTGGTGAAGATTCTGTGAAGATTGTTGAAATGACAACAAAGGATTTGGAATATTACATACACTGAGTTGATAAAGTAGCCGGCAGGGTTTGAGAGGACTGACATCAATTTTTAGAGAGGTTCTCCTATGGATGAAATGCTATCAAACAGCGTTACATGCTACCGATTAATTGTGAAAGGAAGAGTCAACTGCTGCAGCAAATTTCATTGTCTTTTTTTAAGAAATTGCCACAGCCACCTTGACCTTCAGCAACCACCACCCTGATCAGTCAACAGCCATTAATATTGAGGTAAAGACTTTCCACCAGCAAAAAATATTGACTTGCTGAAGGCTCAGATGATGGTTAGTATTTTTAGTTAAGATATGTACATTGTTTGTACACTTAATGGAATATGGTATTGTATAAACATAACTTTTATATGCATTGGGAAACCAAAAGATTTGTGTGACTTGTAATATTCACTTTATTTTGGTGGTGTGCTTTGAGGCATGTTAATTGTATACATTAGATACATTTTATATAATGGCTGATAACTTGAGGTGAATTAGTTCTTTGTTGTTTGTTTAGTATGTTTAATATAAGAAAGGGTTGGAGAAAGAGGAATGATCTAGCTTCTGTATTCCTCATTATTTCTAATAACCCATTCTTTAGGAGTGGTGGTATTTTTTAAGAAATAAATTAATTTTAGAACATTTAAGGTTTATAAAGGAAATGCAAGTTAACATATTAGCACAAATACCCCAGGTATAACTTTTGTTTCCATTTCACACATTGCCTTACACAAATATTTTTATAATGAAAAGTCATGATTATACTATTGAGTGTAACACATGCTTTGACTCATGTTTTCTTCTGAACTAATCAAAAGGTGTGAGGATGATCGCTTCACGAATTTGCGTATCATCCTTGCACAGGTGCCGTGTAAATCTCTGTATCGTTCCAGTTTTAGTATATGTACTGATGAAGGGAGCACAGGAGAGGTGGTCTTATTACTGATTTTCAGGTGAGGAAATGGAGATTCAGGAAGGTCTCACCACTAGTACTATCAGATTAGGGTTCATACTAAGCTCTGGGTAGTTGAAACCTTTTCTATTATGCCATGCCTCTTTCCTTAAAATTATGACTTTTTTTAGATAGAGTGAAGGGAGGGAGGGAGGGAGGGAAGGGGGGAGAGAGAGAGAGAGAGAGAGAGAGAAAGAGAGAGAGAGAGAGAGAGAGAGAGAGAAAGATCCATGTGAGATACGTTGATTAGTTGCCTCCTGCATGATCCTGACAGGGGCCAGGGATTGAACCTGCAAATCAGGTACATGCCCTTGATTGGATATTAAACCCGTGACCCCTCAGTCCATGGGCCAACACTCTTAATTGCTGAGCCAGATCAGCTGGGGCTGACTTTTTCGTTTTAGAGTTACCTGTCTGAAACTATATATTAAAAATTTTTTTTTTTAATCTTCGCCCGAGGACATTTTTGCATTTATCTTCAGATAGAGTGGAAGAGAGAGAGGGAGGAAGAGAGAGAGAAACATCAATATGAGAGAGACACACTGAGTGGTTGCCACCCACATGGCCCCAGCCGGGGCCGGGTGAAACTATATATTTTAAAATTTTTATTTAGAAAATAAAACATTCTCTTGTGTTTTATTTTCCCATTTTATTGATATTTCCCTTTAAGAAGTTTTTTTTATTTTTTTATTTTTTTTATCCTCACCCGAGGACACCTTTCCACCTTTTGCACAGATAGAGTGGGAGGGAGAGAGAGGAAGAGAGAGAGAGAGAGAAACATCGACGTGAAAGGGACACATCGAGTGGCCGCCACACGCACGACCAACCAGGGCCGAGGACAAACTGCAACCGAGGTACATGCCCTTAGCGGGAACCGAACCCGGGTCTCTCCGGACCGCAGGCCAACGCTCTAACCGCTGAGCCAAACCGGCCAGGGCCCTTTAAGAAGTTTTAAAAATTGAACCCAAGATAGATACTTTCCTTCCCTCCCCTTCCCACTGTTTCCCCTTCTTCTCTTTTCTTATTCCTTTCCTTTCACAGTTAGTTCCATTATTAAATTTTAATGGTATAAGACATAAGAAAATAATTCAGTGACACTTGAAAGTATATTTTTTTCTAGGAGGACAAAAATGATAATCTGGATTTCTTAGATAAGCCAAAACCTTCCAGATATTGAAACAGCCATATAACTTACTATTATAAGTAGGTTGCAATGTAAATGTTAACAGATACAATATTGATAACTTTCTTTATTGCTCCACTTAGAATAGCTTCAAAGGTTGAAGTGCTTATTGGATTCACTTAGAGTAAGTAGTTTTGATTTTTGACTTTGATGTTGTTTTAACATTCAGCAAAAAGCATATTTAAGGGAAAGGTCAAATATTGATGTTATTTTGAGAGAAGAAAGGATAACTTATTTTTAAAATTTTATAAATTGAGCATTACATATTTAAAATAGAACATGAAGAAAGTACCTGGTGACTTCAAGTGAATGAAAAAATTTAGGAAGTCACTAGACATTTAAAGTGAAATCAGTTCAGGAAATTTATATAAGAAATTGTTTGTGAAAACAGAAAGAATGTGTTACTGTATTTTAAATGATAAGCAGATACTAAGAATCTTGGGATTATTACAATTGGTATGAAAACTATATACCAGTTGGATACTTACTTATGTTGAAATTATTAACCATGTTTTTAATTGAAAGGTTTTTCAGTTAAGCAAAAGTTTGTCTTTAGTTTGAGAGGCATTGTGACATGATGGTTAAGAGCACAGACTAGGGCCCTGGCCGGTTTTGCTCAGTGGTTGGCCTGTGGACCAAAGAGTTGTGGGTTTGATTCCAGTCAAGGGCATGTACCTAGGTTGTGGTTCGATCCCTGGCTCTGGTTGGGATCGTGTGGGAGCCAACCAGTCGATGTATGTCTCTCTCACATCGATGTTTCGCTCTCTCTCTCCCTCCTTCCCACTCTATCTGAAGATAAATGGAAAAATGTCCTTGGGTGAGGTTTAAAAAAAAAAAAAATTAAAAAGCACAGACTAGAAAACTAGAATCCTGTATTTAAATCTCAGCTTTGGCAATAGTAGCCTTTTCTGTTTGTTTTTTTTAACATGAAATTCCTAGAGTCAGTGAGTGTGTAAGTCACAGTAAATGGAACTGAAATCTAAAAGGTGATGCTGACAGGAAGAAATTAGAGGATGAAAGGACAAAGGGTTCTGTGGAGGTTGGAGGACAAATGTATCTGAGTATTCAGATTGCTGGGGCCTGTGGTAAGAGAATGGGATGCCTGTTTTTGATAGGTGATTTTAGATATGGAGCCTGTTGTGGCTGTGTAAGTGGATGGCTTCATGGAGTAAAGGTAGAGGTCATTGGTGATGAGGATACTTAGGAACCAGATACCTGGCTGTTAGAGGGGCATATCCACTTGTTGTCCTCTTGATTATGGTAAGACCCAGGTGAGAAGGTAGATGATTAGCAGATATTAAAGACTTCCAGAAATGGAGGGGAGTGGGAGTACCACCCAGAGATTGTTCTATTAACAGTCTGTGGTATTTCTTTTGTGTAATTTCCCCTCCCTTTTTTTTTATCTCATTGTCTTTGAATGTCATTGATAACACGTGTGCGCACATACACACACACACTATTTCGTAACTGGCTTTAAAGAATTTTTATGTTTTTCTTTTTTTAAAAATATATTTTTACTAATTTTTAGAAGGAGAGAGAGAGAAACATTGATGTGAGAGAGAAACATCAATTGGCTGCCTCCTGTACTCACCCTTACTGGATATCGAACCCAAAACCTGCGTATATGCCCTGGAATCGAATTGGCAACCTTTTGGTGCATGGGACGACACTCAGCCACCTGAGCCACATCAGCCAGGGCATGTTATTCTTACTATATAAAGTGGTACTAGATGTTCATTGAATAAAAATTAGAAAATAGGGTTAAAAAGAAGAAACTAAAAAAGCATCCATAGATAGTTAATAGCTATTTGTCATATACTCTTCCAGACTTTTTTTCCTACAGAGGCTGTATAAATACATTTTAAAAATGGTATCACATTAGATATATTTTTACAATTATTGCACATTCAGTAAAACATGAGAATTTTCTTGTAATTAAATGTCAATATACTTTCAGGATTATTTTTAATAACTGTAATGCACTGTTACATGAATTTGCTATAATTAATGACTGAGTCTATTATTGAGCATTTTAACATCTGCTTTTTCTCAACAAATTGTGTATTGTGCCTTTAAATTAATGTTGTTTATAATGGTTGGGTAGTGTTTTGGTGGGTGGATGCACTTAGAGTTAACCCCTGACCTGATTGACACATGATTTATGGAGGCCATTCAACTGTGTAGTTAAGGCCTCACACATGAACATTTCACCTGTAGTATGAACTTCTGGGGTTCTTGAAATTGATTTTTTTGTGGGAGAGGAAGCTGACCATGTCAGCCTGGGTTTTTGTGCCATTTCCTGGACCAGAAGATTTATTTTAAAATGCTGGATGCTTAACAATTTGGAATTTATTTTGCCATGTTTACAGCAAGATACTTCTCACTTGCCTTTCTTTTTTCTTAATCATTATAAGCCAAATTGGACACGTTATGAGAGTCATGGCAATGACATAAATTGTCTTGCATTTTCTTGTGAGATGTCCTTGGGAACAGTACATGTGTTTTGCAGAATGCTTTGATTGAAAATATTTACACAAAAAATGAACACATTAAAATAAGTAATTTATCACCCAAAATATATCTGAGTCTGCAGCATTTAAGGACTCCTAAAAGCTGATTCTAAAGATAGGATTGGACTGGAAAGGTTGATTACTTATTTTTTTCACATGACTTCTTCAAAGCACTATTCTGAAATAAGTTTTTACTTACTTGTTAACTTGTTTATTGTTTGCATGTGACTGCCCCACAAACACCAGAAAGCAAGCCACAGTTCTGTGTCTCTAGTCCCAGTTAATAAAAATTGTTAAATGAATGAATCCAATTGTATTAGATCTATTTTCAGTCTATTTAAGTTACTAACTAAATTATTAACTTTTTTAGGAGAGTAATTTGCCAGAAACACATGAGTAAAATGAAAGGAAGCAAAGAGAGTTTATCTGGGGTGTTTTGGTGATGTAGAAGGATTATCTGGGAGTCCTGCTTTTCCCTAAATAGTATTCTTCCCTCTAAATCCTCTAGGTAACAACCACTGTGCTACCATTTGACCATTTCAACCTTTGCATGTTTTTCTAAGTCTTGATTCTGAAATAGTAGTTCTTATTCTGGTGCTACTTTGATGTATCTAGGACAGCACTGTGCAATAGAAATTACAATGTGGCTTTAAATACAAGCCACATATGTAATTTAGTATTTCATAGTAGCCACATTAAAAAAAGACAAAGGGTGAAATTAAATTTAACAATATTTTATTTAACTCATTATGTCCAAAATATTATTTTAACATGTAATAATATAAAAATTAATTTAAAAAATTTTCATACTAAATGTTTGAAATCCATTGTGCATTTTACCCTCATATGTCAGTTTGGATTATCATATTGCAAGTGCTCAGTAGCCACTTGTGGCTAGTGTTCGCTTTCTTGGACGTTGAAGGTTTAAGGAATCATTTAAAAACAAAACTATGAACCAAAACGCTAATAATGTAGGTGATGGCAAAGATATCCATTTAGATAGTCTTTCTGAGCATAGCGTTAATAGTTTTTTTTTTGTTTTTTTTTAAGGTTATTTGCTACAGGTAAGTTCATATAACAATAGTAAGTTTTTGTTGTAGGCTGGTATTTATACGTTGAATTAGTGAAGGGTTTAACCAGGATAATAAAAATGTGTTACAGATTTTTATTTATTTAAAAAAATTTTTTTTCATTGATTTTTAGATAGAGAGGAGAGGATAGGGAGAGAGATATAGAAACATCCATGAGAGAGAACATCAATTGGCTGTGTCCTGCATG